CGGATTCGCGCGCATCTAGGAAGATGGCGCCCTAGAGAGGGGATAGTGTCATGAACGCTTAGTAATGACACGCAGAATAGAGTAGAACCTTGTAGAAGGCGCTGGAACGCGCCTAAAGGTTCTAGGACTTGTAGTGACTCAGGTTATGACTCGACTGTGACTCATAAGGAACATTGTAGAATAGTATAGAACGTTGTGGTAGGTACTGGAAGGTTCTAGTACAGTACTTGTATAGTAGTATATAAGACGCTAGCTGAAGTCGATGGACTTCAGCTCGTCCATTTGTTATACACGCCCTTAGCGCCATAACGATTGACGGCTCGGTTACGGCCTTTTAGACTTAAGACTAAGACACCGCTACCTACACAAGAACGACACTCGACCTAGTGCGCCTAGAGTCTTAACTCTCACGCCTAAGTCACACGACACAGCCTAGACGACAACGACAGACTTTACGCCAAGTCTAACAACCACGACGGTTCGGTGCCCGCCTAAGGTACCACGATCTAGGGGTTCTTACAGCATACGCAGAAGGCGCGAGGCTGTTGCTCATCGTTGCACCGTGCATCCAAGGTCCGGCTGCACCTGCACGGGTTAGATCGCAAAGTATAGATGCGACATCAATGCCCACCATGGATTTGAACTGGATTATATACATCTTGCGCCGATGCAGGTCTTCGAACATACGGTTTGTTCATCTGGGCGCTGCCTGAGAACGGCATGGCTTGGAGCGAGCCACCGAGCGGAGGTATAATATCCGGAAAACCGCCGTTGGGAGAAAGAACCGAAGCTATCGGGATAGCTTGCAGACGAGCCGGCCGTGTATACGCAGCGTACATATATTCAGACGTGACATGCGGCGAGCTCGTTGAAACATCTAAGGCGACGTTGACGTTTTCCATCGCTGGGGCTTGAAAGCCGTTGTCGCTCAAGAAGGCACTGAAGCGGATAGCATGAGAGTAATTACAGGATCGTCCGCCAAGAACGTACTATCGTCGGCCTGATGCTACCTGCGATATTGTCGTAGGGTAGAGATTGGCAGTAGCGTGCGCGACAGTTGAAGGATAAGGGATATTTTGGTGCGAGAAGTGATCGACCGCTGGCCTGTAACAACGGTAAGTCTTGAGAGTACGACAGCATCGGCTAGCAGTGTACTCGCTCGGTAGGATAAGACATCGTCATTGTCTGGTGATACGACGAGGTATCGGCGTGGTCTTGCTCGTCTTTTTGCGTCGGCATGAAGAAGACGAGTCGCGTTATCCGTCGCTGCTGCCATCTCTTCAAAGAGGGATATGTTTATGAACCAGGGCAACTGGTAAACAACGCGATTTGAGCGTGGCTTTGAACTGGGGAACGCTGCGTGGAGTTTCGGAATGGCGAGGTCGAATCGCTCCCGGGCTGTGTAACGCATGTCGGTTCTTGGAAGAATTGAGACGCCCGTTCGATAGCTTTGCACAGAGAGTCCCGGGGGGGGGGGTGTTGTGATCACTGGAATCATGATTGGGGAAGAGGAAGATATAAGTCTGGTAGTGGATTCAACAAAGTGTACGCTGTTCACATTTACACCCGTGTAAACCAACGTCTTGCTGCAAGCTGGGGGTGAGCAGCAGCTCTTTTCCCCGCCTGAAGGAGGCGCGGGGGGTATGCTGGCGACATGATCAGACATCAGACACGGGCGAGCACATGCATACAATGCGAGGGTATATTCCTGTGTATAGAAGCCGTCTTTGCGCCTGCAAGATCTCGGAAGGTGAGCACGGGCTGGCCTAGTGGTCATGCCTCATCCGTCTCCTACGCAACAAGGCGGAGTAGGCAAGGAGCTGCGCCAGTGCAGTGCGCCACCAAGTGCAGGTGCGCACTGCGCAGTGCTAGATCTCCGCCGTGATCGCCGACCGAATGCCATGGGAAGGAGCGCCCGTCCCCGAACTTCAGGCCTCAGGCTTCTACCCATTGCTTGGCTTGTCTCATGACCCTCCAGTCTGACAGCAAGAGCACGCGTGGACATTGGAGTATCTCGCGACCCGCTTCTTGACGGCCTTTCGCCTCCTAAAGGAAATAGACACGGAAATCGTCAAGCTTATAGACCGACATGGATAGCGTGTGACAGGGCCTAGCTATCCACAGCGTCGGATATGTGGCGCAGAAGATGGGAGAGGGGCAATATCTTATCAGAAAGACGTTCACAGTACACCACGCATGCGTAAGCTCACAAACGTCGTAGTATATCGCGCGGATGCTGGCGAAAGGGAAGGCGGTATTGAAGTGACGGAAATGAGGCCACCGAGTGTGCCAACATGGCGGAGATCTGCTGATGCGGATGGATATTGCACAGGACATCGACGTTTCACCCATAGCACACCGCACACACGCGAACGATGACCAGGACGCCAAACGTGTTTTCGAGTGTTTGGTGTTGCATGCACTGGATGTACACAGCTTGACACTGCTGCTGTACGCTATATGTGCGTCATGAAGGGAAGGCTGCAGGGCTGCAGAGTAACAGTAGTAACGTGTCAGTTGCACAATATCGCCCAGACACTGAGCAACGGATCGTATTGTTGAATCGCAAGCTTCAGCCCGTGACTGAGAATTTGGCCTGTCCATCTATGTGCCAGCTGTAGCAATACGTTTGGGTCGGGTGCAGATTCTGGAAGATCCGGTTGGTCATTGTGAGGTCTGCGGCCGTGGTTGATGTCGCAAGAAGAATGACTGAATAGCTAAGGCAATTTAACGTCAGTCCCGACGGAAGAACGGGAGCGTACACGTGGCCGGCCAAGGCCCCAACCTGCGGGTCAGTGCGGGTCGCCCTGGAGTTGGACGCTGCTGGCCCGACATGTGCACACATCAACGTTCTCGAAACGATGACCACATCGCTAGTCTCTTCGGACATGTGAAGACGGTCGTTCATACAACGCTCCTATCTATGGATAGGAAGATTCGGTGGTCTCCATAGCTAGCCGTCCTTGAGCAATCCGATTCAACATGCGACGAGAGCCCAGGGAGCGTTAGGAGGCACCAATCGAAGGAGCGTCGTTGTATGGACATCTCGCACTCGCTACGCGTAGCACAGCCAAGCGCCCACCAATCTGTCAGCCGGCAAGCATTGGTCAAGGAGAAGTATAGCCGTGTCGGGCGCAGCACGTACCAGTACCGCGCGTTCGAACTTGCGCGTTCACGTTGGGTCCGTTTCGTACTGTCGCGCCAAAGGAGCGGTGGTCGCGAGTTTGTAGGGATTGCAAGGTCCTCCGGTGAGCGCGATGCCAGAGCTCCAGCTGCCGGTTGCCGCGGTGCTCGTCGCGGGAGCAATGTGCAGCCTAGTGTCCTATGCGGCAGCGCATAGAGAGGACGCAAAGGAAGGGAAAATCAAGCTTTCCGCGTACGCAGGCGACACAGATGTTACTATGGACGACGCGTTCAACGTCACTGAAGCCGAGGACATCATCGAAGGCGATTCCCAGGCGAGAGGCAGGTTTGGACTGGGGTGCGTGGACCTTGGGCACCTTGTACGAAACCGAATGTGACCTAGGATTGCACAGGTTCGGCTCAGGAAGCTCCTCCTCTCAGTACTTTTCTCCGTCATCCTCAATCTACTAGCCATCTGCCTAGGATGGGCCGTAATCGAAGGCGCCTCGAAGGACATCGCGGTTTACTCCTTACATGTCTCATTCGCCGTGTACCTCCGGGTTCTTGCCACGCTTTCATTGTCGCAGAAGATCGTCGAGCCCCATTCGCGTTCGGTTTAACACCTGGCACTTCGCACAGTACTGGCCACTTCCTTCCTAGGAGTCACCGCTATCCTACCGGACACGAATTTCCACACTCTAATACTACCCGGATCGGCCCTCCCACATGTGGTACACAGTATTGGTACTGTATCTTATGTCATGCATGGTGTCCATTACCACGCCGTCTGGACCTCGGTTGCAGTACGCGCATGAATTCTACAGTGTTTCCATGATAGACTAAATGTCTATGTTCATCTAATCCCCGCCGGCGCATCCGAGGAGGTGGACGGTGGCGTCAACGCCAACATATTCCGCAAACTCGATTCGCCGGTATCTAAGGGAGGCGATAACTTCTCCACCGGGTAAGTCTCCTCGGATCGACGTAAGCTAGCTGCTCACGAGTCCATACAGCGAGAAGCAGCTGCTGTGCATGGCATGAGCTATGTTGAAGCGATCCCGGGTCCTTGTCATGGAGGAGGCTACTGCGAGGTCGGTTCCTCGAGATCAGCAATGCCTGTAACTGGTGTGCTAATAGTGTCGATTACGCTACAGACGAGTTGGTTGGGAAGACTATTCGACAGTACGCGGTATCTCACTGAAAGCGAGACCCGTCCCCTAATGCATGTCTTTTTCAGAGAGTTCGCTGAACCGACGATCCTAACAATCACCCATCGTTTACGGACTGTCATCGACTACCACAGGCACGCATCCTCTTTGCAACTCGCAGTATCCCATTAACTCTGCTCCAGGGTGATGGTTCTCGCTCAGGGAGAAGTAGTCGAGTTCGACAGCCCCAAGGCGCTGCTGTCGGACCCATCGTCAAAGTTTACTCCCTGTGCAAGGCCTCGGGCAAAGAGGAGTTCGCCGTGTTGAAGAAGTTGGCCGTCGTTTGGTCACGGATATACTAGAACATCTGTATGCACGAGAGCGCCAAAGGCTAGCGTAATCACAACGAACAATTCCTGACAAAATCATGCATTGTGAGTTCAGAGTACAGGAGCCAGTACAATACAATTCTGTCGGCGTTACGACGTTCATGTTATATTGATAGACGGGTTTACAACGGGAGGATGTGAGGAATAGGCCCAACGGGAACGATGCGATGCGGATTGACCTAGGTTATGCCGAGAGTGAGCAGCGCAGGGGATGTGCAACGAGTGTTAAAAATACCGAAGGATGCGACCAGAAGTAGTGAGTCTTGATGTGATCGAAGTTAGTGGTGTCCTTGAAAGCCGGATTCTTCCAGTACTACGAGGCAAAGTCGTCAGTGACGGACCTGAGCACTTCATCATGCAAGCGCACTAGGTTCTTCATCCAACGGTGAAGGTTCGGATACCCGCTGCGAATGTCACGGATGTTGCACTTGAAGTGGCGCACGTAAACCGGGTCGAATCGGATCTGAAATAATCATTCATATTCAGCATGGAGTGATAGCGCGTTGAATTGCGTACGATGGTAGGGAAGAGCCTGATATCCGCCTCGGTTAGCTGGTCTCCTACTAGGTAGTCCTTGCCCTCAAGGATCTTTTCAAGTTTGTCGAGCGATTCGAAAAGCGGGTACACGGCTGCTTCGTATGCCTTGGAAGTGGTCGCGAACCCCGATTTGTAGACACCATCTGGGAACCGAGAGACGTTAGCGAGCGCGGGAGGAGGTACATTTGGAGGACGCACTGTTAACCGTGTCGTACACCCATTCGTTCTGCTCATCGATCTCTTTGCGCAAGGGTTCGGGGTAAAGGTCAAGGTTGGCATATTCCGGAGGGAGGAGGTGGTCGAAGGCGGTATAGAACATGCGTATGATCTGTCCATGGCGGAACATGAATCCTCTGAGAACATGCGTCATGGTAGGAGCACGCGAACCTCCGATGATTCGTTGTTCACAATCGTCGAGTGCTTCGTGTCGAATAGAATGGGCACCGTGAAGCTGCGTAGGCCTTGAGTATCGTTCAGAAATGAATATACGGCATTTGCATACCGGCCGTCATAGTTCGGATCGACGCGAAGGTATATGTCCTTAACATGTTCTGCATTGAAGAGAGGGTCAACATCGGCGGCGGGGTAAGCATCCACGTTGGCGAAGGGCCAGCCATGCTCTCCCATGCGCGGCGATACGACATGGACAGCTGCAGTCGACTTTCTTAATGAACGGATTTGAGGAAACGATGGCTGATGGCATACGGATGAAGTCCTCCAAGCCCTTCAGTTTCCGAACGATAATCGTCCTGGTCGCCCATGGGCACGCATAGGAGACGTAGAGGTGGTATCTGCCTTTCTCCGGCTCAAACTTGCCGCCCTTCTCGATGAAGTCGCGGAAAGTAGAGGCCTTGCGCTTGAAGCTGCCGTCCGGGTCGGTGGTCATCTTCGTGATGTCCGACTGCTTGGAGACGTCCCGAGTTGCGGCCATCTTGTCTCTGACTATACTCGAGTGAACTAGGCGGATTATGCGCTGATGAACGAGACGTGCTCCGAAGTTCGGTGGGGAGATGATACGACGAGTAACTGTCTTATGGAGGTTTATATACGTGGGCCGGGATGAACAAACCCGCTTTATCATGAAATTCATGAATCGAAGAGGACGTGAACAAGATTATCCCCCGATGACCAAGTCCTGGGCTGTCGATCACACACATTCGACACGGATGGAGCTATGAGCACATGTTGTCACTGGCAAAGGTGTCAGCACTATTTGGCAAACTCGTTGCTCATACACCCTGATAAACGACGTTAATCGTGATCAGGAACAAGGTGAAAGCCAGCACGAAAGAATAGGCGAATCAATATCAGCGTCAGCGCAAAGGCAGTAGCAACCGTGGCGTGTGAATATTTCCCCTACACGTTCTTCGACGCTGTTCGTCTGCTGTGCATCTCTATGCGTATCGGAACGTATGCCTTGCTTGACTCTCAGCATAGCAACTGCTGTTTCGAAATGTCGTCGTGTGCATGGTCTTGTCTCACTGGACAATACTCTTATTCGCCCTTTCGGCACTGGCGACCTCGCGGCTAGCATGTGCCACTCCAACAAAGCACAGAACAATACCTCGGAGCATCGCCCCGAGTGGCCTACAAGAGCGTTCACCAACCTTTCGACAGCTCTCAATCCTTTCAAATCACTCCCACCACTATCGAGCGATATCGCCGTAGTGATCACTCAAGCAGCCTGACGCGTCGATTTATGCTCAGGGTGAGTTGCACGCTTGGGTGAATGCATTCATGGATCGACGTTCATCTACAGAAGAATAAACCCCGTTGGCTTCGCCCCCGATTACCCATAAGTAGGCGGCCACTTACCAAGCAAGACCACGAATTGCATAAATTGTGAGCCCTCGCGTTGGCAAACCATTGCCATTATTAGATACTGATGGCCGCGGTGTGGCTCAGGCAACGTCGGGTCCTAGGCTTCGAGATCACAATGAACCTACCGACACTTCT